GACGTATCCGAATCACATTTTGGACTAAACGAAGTTATCAAACAAATTCGTCATTACCATAAACCTGGCTTTTCAGAAAAGACCAACATCATTTGCCTGGGTCCTTGACGCTGTAGGTAGTTAAACATTCAATTTCGCCGATTTAGTCATATTCCCATTTTCAAAGTTCGTCATATCCCCATTTGAATCCGCATTTAGACTTAGTTAAACATCCACTTAGTCTAGACTTAGTCAAACATATCCAGTTAGTTTAGACTTACTTAACGTTTCCCCATTTTTTGTTTAAACTACTGTTTAAACTAGTAGATTCTTCCATGAGTCAAACATCTCCAGTTCTATCCCCGTCCATCGAAAAAACAGGCTGCGGTACTTCGCCCATGGCAGGAGATGGTGGGTCAACCAGGCGTCGCTGCTGGGTTAAGCAACCGCCGGTTTCAAAAAAAGCTGCGGGGTTAAGCAACAAGATTCAGGGGATTTAAAGGTAATGTGGTATATATATATATACCCTCTGGTAAACGTTTACATACCTATGGAAAATCACCATTTTTAATGGGAAAATTCACTATAAATGGCGATTTTCCATAGTTATGTCAAATTACCAGATGGTATATATGTATATAAACCCAATGCCATAAAGAATCACTACTATCAACCATGATCGGCAGTATACCCAATAATAAACCTCCATATCCTCTGGTTGTTTAAGAGTTTGCGAACTGGAAGCCATGGCCCCTGTAGTTCGATGATGATGATGGCTATTCATTTGATGGTGATTTTCCATTTTCCATAGCAGACCCTTAAATTACCAGAAGGTACCCTCTGGTTATGTCAAAATAGCTATGGAAAATCACCATTTTTCATGGGAAAACTCACTATTTCGACTGGGCCATTTTCAATAGCTATGTAACAAATTACCAGAAGGTATAATATGATACCTCTGTCAACGAGTTTTTGTTTCAGAGCCGGGGACTGTGGGAGTGCAACTTTCTTGCATATGACTTAGTTTTAAACGCCTCAAAACTTTTCTAACCACACACCATACATGAAATAACTTGTGAAACCTTAACCTATATTCAATACAAACCAAAGAAACAAAATCAAGAAAACACCAAAACAAAACAAAAAAAAACAAAACAAACAACAACAAACAAAGATCATTGTTGGTTAAATCACCATTCTCCACTATAATCTCACTGTAGTCCCGATCTATCTATCTATCTACCTGTCTGTCTGTCTGTCTATCTACCTACCTGTCTGTCTTTCTGTCTAAATATATACTATCCTACTAAATCCCACTATAATCATTGATTTTTCATTGATATATCTCTATATCTATACATAATCCCTCTATAATCTTTCTGTCTGTTTATCTTCTAAATATATATCGCTGATTTTCATGGATTTCCCCCATGTCAATGCCATGCCGCAAACTCCCATGGCGCCCGCAGCGCGGGCGGATCACACGACCGAGGCCATCCCCTGCAATTGATGGATCCCAGCCCAAGGGCGCGGCAGTGGGTGCCTGTAGACCAAAATTTGGGCACTGAACGAGACTTAGATTTTGTGGATACGTAGATTAGATTAGATTTAGATTAGATAAATAGATAGAGATGTATTAGATGTACTTATATGTATATGTGTATATATATATACACAGTTTGTAAAACAATATAATTCACCACCCATATTTTAATGGTTGACGGGCGGATTTGGTTGATATCAGCATCCATTCATCTCCAGGTTGTGGGATGTTTAGGACGACATTTTACCCGGCCTGGTAAACATACAACAAACTATGGAAAATCACCATTTTTAATGGGTAAATCAACTATTTCGACTGGGCCATTTTCAATAGCTATGTTTGTTTACCAGGCCGGGTAATTCGTGGACATTGATGGGGATGTTATATTTGATGGAGACTTTGCGGCGGATGGATATCAATGGTTATAAATGGATATTTTTGATATTCATGGCTATTTTATATGGAGTGTAATGTTATACTATTGAATTAGTGATCAAACTGATGCGACTGGTTTTGAGGACATATCATATATATATATATACAGTATTTATATCAAAACCAACTTTTTCCCAAAGCAAAGGGGCACTCTTATAGATCTCTTATAGATCGTGTTATATTGCTTCATCATGGGAATATGGTGGGATGCAACCCAGTGAATATTTGATGGATACAACTGACAAGTGATACTTGTAGTATGTGTCAGGAATTTCAACAGATGGGATTCCACCAGCAAACGGGATATGGCCAAGCATGGGCCATGGGGAGGCTGTTTCCTGTGTGCCTCTGCCAGGGAAATGGTCCTGGAGTCACACCCTTGGCTGAAGCCCGGTTCCCCAGCAACAGCTTTGGCAGGTAGCACAAAGTCAGCATTCTTCAGCCGAGGCTAGTTCCCTGCAGTTTTTTTTTTTAACCACCCGGTTTCATCAAACATGGTTTGGGGATTCAACGGCCAGCCAGCTGGTGTAAGGCTTTAAAATATAGGACACAGCCATGATACGCCATGTCTAAGCCCCAGGCACAGCCATTTGGGTCAGTCTTAGTGTCAAACACGGAATCTATTGGGTTACCCTCCAGCAGTCAAACATGGCCATGGAAGCAAAGAACACATTTTGAGACAAAAGTCACCCGTAAATTATATTCATATAATACAAATAAGAATAGTAGTAATAATGATAGTAAAACAAATGACATTGATACTGATACTGATGATGGTAATGATAAAACCAATAATAATGATAGTAATAATGATAATAGTAATCATATACCTACATAGATGGCTGGTTTACAGTGCCATGTTTCATGCCCCCTTTCTGCGGTCGCAGGAGCAAGGAGAAACAACGCTGGATCCTGCCACACGTCAGGCCCAACGCGCAACGCGCAACGTGCGCAACGCGATCATCCCATGGATCTGCTATGATTTTTAGGCGGAATTCATGATGAACCAGCCATTTTCATAGGGAAGATGATGTTTTTTTTGGGGGGAATTCATGATGATGAACCAACCATTTTCACAGGGATGTTTTTTTTTGGGGAATTCATGATGATTCACCAGTAAGTTTAGGGGTACTCGATTTTTGAGAAGCCACGGATCGCAACTGGTCAGTAACCCTGGGGAATCACTTCCCGATTCGTGGATTGAACGAAGTATAGCTGGGTTATCATCCCAGATGCTAGGCAGTCACGATCCATAGAACGATCCTCTACGAGGCTGCAACTAGAATTCTGGGCGGATTCCAATTTGACTGATATTGTTGATATGGTCTGAACATATGGTCTGAACGTCTATCATTACGCTAGCTTGGGATTTTGGCCAAGTAACATTGGGTATATAATCATCTATGAGTTCCAGGGCTAGGGATGTGATGAAATGATGAAACTGACCAAAATGATGGACATATAAGCAACCATGAGCGGCAGCACACCAACCAGAAAGCATGGATCTGGTTTGCCCAGTTGGCCCAGTTGATCCTTGATCAAAGGTCCAATTTTTCAAGGACTAGCTGGAAATCGGCAAGAGTTCGATGATTTTCCGATGTTCAGACTTCAAAACCTCTATTTAGTTCAAGGATTTCCCAGCCACATTGGAGGACACGACGGTCATGGGTAGATCCTACTTGGCAAAAAACGCAGGTGGTGGCAAGCCTGTGGAGACACATGATGGATCAACCGCCTGAGAGCTGAGGCTTTCCGTTGCGCCGTTGCGTGACACCGTGGCGTTCCGCAACGGTGGTTTGGCATGGTTTGGCGATGAAGCTCTGGTTTGGATCAAGCGTTTGGTCATGAAAATCCCCATTTTCAGATATTTTCAATGGGAATATGCTCTATAAATGATTATAAATGGATAACGATGGGGATTTTCCATTGCCAGCTTGCTCTAACAGAGGATCATCAGCAAATAGACGAGACCAAAAAATTGCGCAGTGCACCGGGCTGAATCGATCACTTGGCTTTTCTTATGTACATAGAAACCAACCGCAGCTTCGAACATCGAGAGTCGCGGTGTTTGTTGTGCCTTGACATCATCGAGTCGCAAAAGGGTGACCTGGATGATGCAGGAAGAAGCGATGGGTTTGCTCTTGGGGATGGGCCATAAACCTATGACATTACCTGATTGGTGGTTTGGAACATGAATTTTATCTTCCCCAATAGTTGGGAATGGAAAATCATCCCAACTGACTATATCATATTTTTCAGAGGGGTAGGTCAACCACCAACCAGTTACTATATTTGGGGAATCAACATTCATAAACCAGCTATAGCCTAGAGATGCCTAGAGTATCTAGGCTGTAGCTGGTTTTGACTGATTGCCACGGGATTGTCACAGCAAGAAACTGACACAGCAACTTTCAAGAGATGGCTCAGATTTCTTCAACAGAGTTGTTGTCTTTCTTCTTTGCGGATTTTTGATTGCATAGATGAAACAATTGTTTCTATTCTCTTCAATTTGTTGGTGTAAAAATCAATTACATACCTTCAGACTGTGGAATCGACTTTCTCGTGTGTCGAGCCCAGAGCGTCAACTGCGCTGCCTTTCTTGGTTCAATGCACTAAATAGGTTTGTTTTCTTAATGACAAGGCGCTCCAGTAAGAAAGAACATGATTGGCAGATCCAGCCTTGGCCAATGTTTAGAGGTTGCCAGTGGCAGCCATCAGAAAAAATATGAACGGATGAACTTTTCAACAAAGAAAGCATCTTGACGATCATGATCCCTTGTGATCGACGCAGATTTTTCGCTGCTTGATGAACACGTCCACGACGTGTTGACGATGAATTAAACATCATGAGAACCAGGGTTTCACTATCCAAATCTAGATGTTTTCTTTCAAAGAACTCCAGCAATTCAAGGAACTCAAATAGGTTTTTGGGTCTCCCTTCAAAAACTCCAGCAATCCTTTGGAAATTCCAGAGCTTTCAACTCCGCAAATTGAGTTCTTACCAGGATCCACCCTCCACAGACCTGATGAAAGAACTTTGGCGATGCCGGATGTAGCTCCCTTGTGTTCCTTGGGGAGCCGAGCGACAGCACCAAAGCAGGGGGCCCCGCCAAGGTGCACCCATTCCACCAGCCGAATGTAATTGATTGAAAGTTATATATCTAAACAAAAACCAAGCCCCAAACAGCATAAACACAGCAACACAATTTTCCAACTGACCAGCATTTTCAGTGGGACACAGAAAAAAAAAATCATCGAAATCATCATCCATGGCACGGCCTGAGGTTGCCCGAGGTGCATCCTGACAGCCGATGGCAGTACTGTGCCAAGCAACGGAAGATCCGGGAGGCTGTGGCTGGAAGGACTGCTGGCTATGGTGATGGCTAATAGTGATTAATGATGGTTAATGATGGTTAATTGTGGATGATGATGATGATGCAGAAGATTAATTTAGGGGGTCACTTCTTTTTTCCCCCTTTTTTGTGTCGCTTTTGGAAGAGCGCTTCATTTTTTGAGGATGTTTGCGGGGTTAATCGAGATTTTATGGATTTTTGAAGTATGCAGAAACTCGCTAGGCATTGTCAATATTTTTTTGATGCTGGGCAAAATTAGTGAGTTTGATCAATGATTGTGACTGTTCTTGCCCTAACGAATGAATCGACTCAAGTGCTCTCCTGGCACACAAAATGAGCCTCATTTGGTTGGTAAAAGGAAGTTTGGCAACAAACTCTTGGCCCAGTTTTAGTCATGACATCAACAAAATTGAACAGTAAACACGAATAAACACGATATATATGTATATATATATATAATAAGATTAATTAGTTTCCTAACGCAAATTCCTTGAACATCAACCTACAATACTGGTTGGTGCTTTGGAACATGAATTTTATGACTTTCCATTCAGTTGGGAATGGAAAATCATCCCAACTGACTATATCATATTTTTCAGAGGGGTTGGAACAGAAACCACCAACCAGAAGATGTTTTTCCACATTTCTGGTGAAATGACCGAACTCTCCATGGCTCCCCCAGCGATTGTGGCGCGGTCCAGGCCCCAAAGATTGCGGCGCGGAAGAAGCTCTTGCAGTCCTTCTCTGCGAGGCTCGGCGTCGAGGATAGCCGTTGGATGTAGCAACTGAATGGGGTTTGTATTCGGTCTATCAGGTTTAGATCATGATTTTCGGATATTTACCAAGAACATTAATTAGTTTTTTTTTTCAAGGGGTTTGATTGGGTGGAAGGTTGGTTATGAAAACCATTAAACACCATCATTCAGCCCTTGACTCAAGGCGCCGCAGAGATCTCGAAACACAGATCCGTTTATCGAAGCCCATTGGTTCAAAAATTGGGGTATCTTATATTGGGGGGTTAGTGGATTAGTGGATTATGAAGATCATGAACATCAACAGATCGGATTTATCACACCAGATCGTGAGGTACTTTTGAAACATTTTTGTGAATTTCGCTTAAAAGGTGTGGAATATTACCCTCTGGTAAACGTTTACACAAAACTATGGAAAGATCCACCATGCTATTCATGGGACAATTCACTATTTCTATGGTGATTTTCCATAGTTATGTTAGTCATTACCAGGTCGGGTAAGTATGATCATATGATGGACAGCGTGGGTGACTACAAAGTCTTGGGGAATCATGGGGATGATACGAGGCAGGAGCAGATGATTTTTTCCATGAAAAGATGGTGATTTTCCATGGCTTGGAGTGAATTCACTGAAGGGTGTAATATATATATATAGAGATTTCCTAAAGTGGGACCCCAACACCATGGCTTTCAATACTAAAATGATCTAATTTTGGATGACTTGGGGTAGCCGCCAAAAAAGTTGGGTGTTCTTCTGGAAACCCCGATATCGTGGAATGAAACTACAGTGTCCAGAAGAACACCCAACTTTTTTGGTTTCAATCATCAATGGATTGGTCTAAGGGAAAATCAAAGCCGGAAACCAGAGATTTTCCCATTAAATATGGGGCTTAAACCTGTAAATTTTCCCGTAAACCATTCCATTGAAAACAAGTCTAGCTTCTTACCTCGTCATGCCTCTACACTTATAATCTTATAGATTTGCCATTCATCACTTGGAGGTTCCTAAATCATGGTACCCCAAATCATCAAAGCCCTTATTAGAGCATGACTTAGTATTGAAAGCCATGGTGACGACTTGAGGACTGGGGATCCACCATTTTAGGAAACACTCAATTAATCATTCCACAATAATCTTCATTTATAGACGATTTTCATTGATATTCTCACGAAAACTCTCCATATATAGTGGATTTCCAATCTATGTCCCACTCAATTCCCAGTAAAGCCCATTAAACAACCATTAAACCCCACCAAAATCTCAGTAGATTCCCATTCAACACCATTGAACCCATTGATTCCATCAAATCCCATTGAAATCCCGTTGAAATCCCATTAAAATCCCATTCAACTGTATGATCCACTTTCCATTCAAACGCGTTACCAAGCTCCAGGCTTGGCACTGGAGCTTCCGTGGTCCACAGTCGTAGCGCCCTGGTGGATCTGCAAGGGCAAGGTTGGCCCTTGGGAAACTATGGGAAACCACAGAAGAAATACCCTCTGGTAATTTAACATAGCTACTGAAAATGGTGATTTATAGTGGATCTTCCCATTAAAAATGGTGATTTTCCATAGTTACGTTAGTTTACCAGAGGGTATGAGTTTAACCATCAAACGATGGGGATTTTTCCGCATCAGCACCATGGATTAACCAAACATCAACACGAATCCAGTCGTGCAGTTCCAGTGACAAGGGGATAGCAGTTTCACCATGGTTATAGGGCTTATATATGCTTATATCATGTTATATCCCAACCTATTGAGGGTATATCACCAAGGTTATAGCCATTTCTAACCTCACCCGCAAGTAGGAAAGCGCAGAGAAACATGTTTTTTCAGCCACCAAACATGGGGATTGAAGCAAGAACTTGATGAGAATTCATAGTTGATTTATGATAGCTAAGTGGGTTTATAACTAACATAACAATTGGGTTTACGGTAGATATATCATGATATATCGAACTAGTGCATGGGGTTTGTGAGCCAAGAAGCATAATGCTGGGAGGCACCACCCTGTAAACTTCTGCGGAGTGCTGTAGGCACTAGCTTTCATCAAACCTGGCTGACTGGAGGACATCCGAATGTTTCACGGAAATAAAAGGTCTACTGTTGAAATTGAGAGGACTATAACTACCAAACATGACGGGATGGCCCATTTGTTGATAGATGATTCATTTGTGAGTCATTTGTGAATTTCCTGCCCTAGATTGCACCAATGATCCATTTTGGGTGGAACTTGGCTGGAAGTCATGTCGAGTTTTTCAGAACATGTGCGGCACTCGACTCAGAAGACATTTTCATGTGGGATTCACGAACAAAAATCATAGCTACCATCCCCAGTCGTCATCACGATTTTTATGGATGGTATACCCTCTGGTTATTTAACATAGCCATGGAAAATGGCCCATTTATAGATGATTTTCCCAGCTAGAAACCTCCATTTATAAGGGATTTTCCATGGCTATGTTAGTCATAACCAGCTGGAAAATCACCATTTTTAATGGGAAAACTCACTATAAATGGCCATTTTCAATAGCTATGTTAGTCATTACCAGCTGGTAATATAAACCATCCCCAGTCACGGTAGCTTTATGGCCATTGAATTTTCTGCCAAGGTGCCGGGAATCTAAGCCCAATTCGCGAAGCCACGAGCATCACGTGCCTTGGCGATGGTGACTTACAAAGGTACCTGGTTGTAGGAAATGACACTAACGGCTAACGCAACAGAGCTTGCTCCAGAGTATTTATATTGATACACTGGTAGTATATTTACGTATAAAGATCACTGTAGATCTATTCTAGATTAGATATGACATGATATGACATGATGTGACTCCATATTTTGGAGAAAGTCTTTGTCCAAAATCCATAGGTCGTTGGTGACATTATTTGCACCTCGATTTTCCGTTCCTCGCAAGGGAAGTCCCTTGGTGGCAATCACGCTCCAATGCAGGCCCTGGAATTCGGTCGGATTCGGAAAACATGTTGGAGTAAGGCTCCAACAAATTAGGAGCTACATAACATTGAAATATTATGTCCAATAACATTACATAACATTACTATATTGCCTAATTATGCCTAATTTATATCATTTATACTATATTGCCATAACATTACATTGCCATAATATTACTACAGGCTTGAACATGTAATATTATGGCAATATAGTAATATTCAAGAAACCTGTAGTACTGGTAATCATTATTCATTGGAATATCTTTAAACACACCCAATATTACGATATATTACAATGAGTCTGATGGCTACCGCTTTGAAAGATTGCTCTTCACCTTACTATTTGGCTGGGTACAATCAGCATGAAGACACATTGTTCATTTCAAGAACCAGCACACTGCTGAAAAATACCCTCTGGTAATGACTAACATAGCTATTGAAAACGGCCATTTATAGTATTTATAGTGAGTTTTCCCATTAAGAATGATGATTTTTCAGTTCGTTATATAAACGTTTACCAAAGGGTAAGCGCCAGAAGAATTTTCACGACCATTGAAAAACCTGTCCCATTACACTGCACAACAGAACTCATCATCTAAAAATAGTGGGATGACCATGCTATGTTGGTTGTTGACGACATAGACGTATATGTGTAGAAACAAGGGCTTATAAAATACCAATCAAAAAAAATGTCCTCAGTTCTGATCTGCTTGATTTACTTCCATTGATTCATTGGTTGCCATCCCTACTATTTCTGATCTCTCTGCTTTGGATGGTGCTTGTTCTCACGGCAGTGCAGTTCGAGGGGTTCCATCTCAACTTATGGGGGTGATAATCCCATTCTTACACCCTTTTATATCCATTCATCACTAATTAACTTTCATAACCCATACCAACCCATATCAACAATGAACACTACCCTCCGGCAATTTCATAGAATGGAAAATGGAAAACCACCTATTTCAATAGGGTTTTATCATAAATGAACATCACTGATTGGTGGTTTCAAACATGAATTTCATTTTCCATTTCATATATATGGGATGTCATCCTTCCCATTGACGAACTCCATCATTTTTCAAGATGGTTATTGCACCACCAACCAGAAATTATACATCATAGCTATTGAAAATGGCCCAGTCGAAATAGTTGATTTTCCAATGAAAAATGGTGATTTTCCATAAATGAACATCAGCTGGTTGGTGGTTTGGAACATTTTTTATTTTGTCATATACTGGGAATTTCATCATCCCAACTGACTTTCATGTTTTTCAGAGGGGTAGGTATACCACCAACCAGATTTCAATAGGGTTTTATCATAATAGGGTTTTTAAGATAATCCTTCCCATTGACATCAGTGATTTTCCCAGCTATAAAATGGTGGATCTTTCCATCAATGAACATCAGCTGGTTGGTGGTTTGGAACATGGCGATCAATGGTGATCAATGGTGATTAATGGTGATTACTTCACTGGCCATCTCAGGAACCTAAATTGGAGGTACCTACCATATATAAGGCCTATGTAAGGCCTACGTAAGGGGATATACCCCCAAAATATGGCCTTATAAGGTACAGTACCTCCATTTTAGGATCCTGGAATGACCATTGATTACTGGATATTACTGGGGATTTTCCATAAATGAACATCAGGGATCACCATGTTCCATCACCGCAATTTGCGGTGGAACATTTCTCAGCCCCAGCTGCCGATGATTTTTTCGTCCTAGCCAGGCCTCGTGGATTCTCGTCCCCTGTCAAGGCTGGCGTCTACTCGCTTTAAAAGGGATGCGAGTCATGAATGGTTAATGGCCAATTATGGTTGATAATAATGGCTAACAATGGTTAAATAATGGTTAATAATGGTGAATAATGGTGAATAATGGTGAATAATGGCGAATAATGGTGAATATTGGTCAATGGTTTATGGCTTTTTAGTGGTTGATGGTGAATGATGGTTGATCATTGTTTTTTTTTTTCCGAACGGTTTGCGAACTGGAGAATTACCATTCAAATAGGTATGGTAAATCATCATAAATCATCGAACTACATGAACCATGGCTTTCCATAGCTAACCAGAGGGTAATGTCCAAGCTGTGAGATAGCGACACCCTTTATGGGATGAAGTGACTAAATTCAGGGGCAACTGGAAAATCCATTGAGGTATTCATATGACCCAAAAGTAGTTTTTGCAAGGCTCTGTCCACATTTCTACTTCCGAAAGCCGTTGTTTTTCAGGTCAGGACCTTGCTTTGAGTCTTTGAGTCCGCTGGGGCTGGGGATAGCATGTATTGTTTTTCTCCTTCATCCCACAAGTTGGTAGAAAGTTACACAATGTCAGCCCAAGATTACTACCAAATCACCCTCCTTGGTGATGTAGCAGGTTGCCCCCAAGACTGATAGCCAGCAAAATGGTACTACCTGATTCAACAGCCAAAGGAGTTACTGGGATTTATTCCAATTTAATAAATCAACCCTGATATGGCGTTGGTTATACAAGGCGATGCCCCCCAGTCAGACAGCTATGTTGGTGTTTCTTACTAGCATCACGATTGGCTTTATGGTAGATATTTCGAAGCAGTTAATGCGGTTTATAAACCAACTTAGACTGGGGGCACCACCTTATATAAATGCTTCTATCCATCCCATTAATATCCATGAATTTCCATGAATATTTCTTGGTTTAATCCGACCAATTTTTATGGGTCAATACCATCCTGGAAAACCTGGCTGGGCCTTTAGGGCGTTCACTTCTGGCTGGTGGCTTTCCACTCCACTTTCCCGGCCATCACAGAATTGGAAAACAAGGCCACCACAGGAGCACCCCGTATTGGTCCAGTATAGAGCAATGCTGGTTTACCCTCTGGTTATGTCAAAATAGCTATTGAAAATGGCCAGTTATAGTGGATTTTCCCATTAAAAATGATGATTTTCCATAGTTTTTTGTTAACGTTTACCAGAGGGTAATTAAAAAACAGGTTCCTGCCGATGTTCCTGGAAAAACGAAGCCAATGATCCATGGAACGCAAGCTGTGATGGCAGTTGTTTCGGTTGCAGGGAGCAGACTTCCACTGGAAGAATACCATGGGCTGCCTCCCGTTCGCGTGCCTGTAGCGTGAGAGCACCCAGCTTGCCTCAACAATTGGATGCCTTCTCCAAAGGCGATCAGTGGCTTGTGACTTTAGGGGTTGCAAATTTTGGGCAAACCTGCATGGTTGGGGCGATATAAAAAGCATTCTGGGTCAGAGCTAAACCCTCTCAAAATTGGGTAATGAATGGTAATCAAGTCTGACTTTCACCGAAATGACGATAAGCTTCAGGCCATTCTGCTTAATCGCGCAGACACATCAACGGGCAATTGCTCTGCGGATTGGGGGACAATCTCCCCTTTGGAAGGTCTCGAGAGTTTTCTATTTCTACTTACGTATTCCATGGAGGCTTTAGGTCGGTGTTTCTACAAATTGGCACCTCAAAATCGAATTGGAGTGAAATTCATAAAGCAAAAAAAAGACTCCACCATCCCCTAACATTTACCTGTCATTTTGATGGGCAATCAGGTGGTAACAATGACATTGCAGCCATCCGAGACAACTGAGGCCTGCGCTTTGGGTTGGTCCACCTGGAGGAATGAACGTCGAGGCTCTCCAAGTTGGAATGTCACCGGGATGATTCACTCCATTTTGAAAGAAATCGATATGTTTGAGCGAATAAAAACCATAATATGGCAGTGTGTCAAAACCTTGTACCCCTGGTGAACCCCAAAATAGCTGGTAAATGGATGTTCATCCCACTATAGTAATGTATCTATAGGTATTGACCCATACCCATATATCATAATATTATCTGTTTAAATTCCATCTAGCAGTTGATTTTCGATATATCAGATATATCCATCTATCCGGTGAAGATAAGAAGACTTCGGTTGATTGATACCTTGAGATCTTCTTGCATCTTGATCTTGAGCAACAGGATGCCGTTTTTTTTTCCACGGACCTAGAAGCTAACAGCATCACCTTCCTGTGGTTATATCTTAAGATCTAAAATGAGAAAAGCAATAGTTTTCAATCCCTGAATTTACCATAAAAGGGTGGTAATTGTCGATCAAAATATGGGTGATTTATATTGATTTATGTCTTTATATATTCTTGCTTTACTAACAATTCACCATTGAGTGTTATCATTTTTCCTGGTGCCAGTGCCAGGGACGGAGTCGGAGATCTTTCGTGGACTAACACACGAAGTCGCCCGGGCGCCCCAATAATGTGAGCGGTTCATCCCGTTACAGTGGATGATGATCCACATCAGGGATGGCTGGTAAGTGGTTTATAACCCATAATAACCCATAATAACCCATAATAACACATTACACACTTATAAGCGGTGCCACTTAATTAATAGCTAGAGTGTATCACCCATTTGTAACTTTATACACATTTGTTGAAGTCGCACCGACTCCAAACATATATCAGTTGGGGGCCCAGGCAGAAGCTGCAGGAAAAGTCGCTCCAACTTGTGATCATGTGCGCGGGAGCAGTCATAGAATTACATTTGCTGAAATTCAATGTCCAAAAGAAAGTAATTAAGAAAGAGAGTGAAAGAAAAGGAAAGACAAGGAAAGGAAAGCAAAGGAAAGCAAAGAAAGGCAAAGAGAAAGAAAGAAAGGAAAGAACAGGAAAGAAAGGGAAAAAGAAAGAAAGTGAGTTTTTTTTGCAGGTGAGCACATTGGACCTTGCGAGGTACCGCTAAATTCGCACCTGGCGATTTCTTCGGCATGTCATCGGGGTTCCGTGAGGCTTTCTGTGTGGGTTTCCCAATGATTAAACATTAGAAGCCATCCCTATCACTATAAATGGGAGCGAACTATCAGCCCCAAACGCATTGGGTTGATGGCATTGGGTTTGTACAGATATAGTAGCATAGCATGCATCTTTTTCACTGTGGTGAACCTTTAGAGGAAACATCTATACCATCATTTTCTTTTTTCTCAGGCAAAACCCCCGTGAAGTGCTTTGTTTTGTTGGTGATCTTCTCCTTTTCTTGTTTTTTCGAATTGGTTGAAAGGAAAATCTACAGAACACTTTTTTTTTTAAAGAACAACATGTTAAAACCATGGATTTTCTAGCAATTGCTCAAACTCACCATGAAATACGGGGCCCTTCTGAGGCTGGTGTGATGAAACTCATCGACCATTTGGACGACGACGTGGAGCTGAACGTGTCCGGAGGCGCGTTGCGCCGAACGTGAAAATGGCCGAGTTCGTTGATTTACGTATTCAGAATGGTGATTTTCCATAGCAAAGTGTTAGTTTAGTGGTAGAACATCCGGAAAAGAACGGCTGGTTTCTATGTGAATGGTTTAGTGGTTGATAGTGATTTATACTTACTTATAGTCCCATTATGTCCCATTTCTCAGTAATTATATTCCCGTGATATGAGAATCGCAGAGAAGCGGTTGGTTTGATGGGTAATGCTTGGCTAAAGTTATACACTGGGGATTCCTGGGAAGACGATATATCTGGGTAAATTATAACGACCTCACTACGACCTCACTGGGAATCATGGTTCATAAGGGAATCATCCCCAAATGGCCTTAATTCATCTTAATTCAGGTTAGTGAAATATTATAATTTACCCAGATAGATAGATATAAATAAATATATATATAATATATAATTATATATATAATTATATATATAATTATATATATATAATTATATATATATACATATATGCATAATGATTGGTCATATTAGTGGAGATTCCAACTAAACACTGGTTACTTCCTAACCATTCTGACAATTTCATGGTTGGTCATTTATATAAAAAAAGGCAGGGATTCGCAATTTTTACGACATTTCTACCATGAAGAACCAGCCAATAAGCAGCCATATTGGTATACCAATGGGAATAAACCTCATATGGATCAGCTTCCGAGCCCCAAAAAAAACACACCATCAACCGTGCTGGGCCGGAGACAGCCCAGTTGCTTTTTGGGGAAGTGGTCAGGTTTCAGCCCCGCTGGCTGAGTTGCCAAAAAATGGTGATGGAAAATGGTACACCATAGGAAAACCTTAAGAAAATGGTTAATTTAACCCAGAAAAAATGGTGATTGAATGGGATTTATAGCTGATTTCTGAAATCGCAAAGTTGACGCACAGTTCCCTTGGTTAACTGTTGGGTTCATTGGGGGAGATAACGAACTAGTTGATGGGTTTATAAACTAACAAACATCACGGGGGGGCCTCACCTTGTACAAAGCTTCAGTCGGAAATTTGCCAACCCACGACCCAGCAAAAAATCATAAAAAATCAATCGCAATTGGTCGATATGCGGGACAAAGTTACAGATTTTGGGCCCCCATACTACGTCTCATAGGGGTTTCTTAAAACGGACACTCCCAAAAACCATGGTTGCTTTAATACTAAGTCATGGTCTATATAATGTCTTGGATAATTTTGGGTACCACCACGACTTTGGAAACCTCCCAATATCTGTGCAGTTCCATGATGTTTGATGCACAGCCACACTTGGATCTTTACCTCAGGAGCACTGGTCCGCAACCATGGTGACTTTCCCTAGCGAAATGGGGATCCAATCCACGAATTCTTATTGGTTCAACTACCCGGCCTGGTAAACTAACAGTTTGCGAACTGGAAAATCACAATCTTTAGTAGGTAAATCAACGAACTATATGGGCCATTTGCAATAGCAAACTGTAACAAATTACCAGAGAGGGTTCTTTCATGTGGCTTTAAATTCCAATTTAGATTGCTAAATTCTTGATATTGCTCAACTCTCATCAACTTTCCCACTCTTTAAATGGATTGCTGCCCCCGCACGGAAAACAATCCACAGTGGCATGATTTGCACCTTCCCAAAGGTCTGACCTGAAGTATCCAGTTACCCTCTGTAATCGAACATGTCTTGCTGGAAAATCCATCTATAGATGATTTTCCCCAGGAAAAACCTCCATAAAAAGTGCGGGCCTTATAACTGATTTTCCATGGTTTTTCCCCATGATGTTCCAACATGTTCCTATATTTCCCCATGATTTTCCTACATTTTCCCATGTTTTTCCATTACAAACCACTTAAACTACAACCATTTTGATCGGCAAACCCAGCGCCTTCCCGGTAAAAGGTCCACCCACTTTGGAGGAGACAATGTCCAAGGTGAAGGCCTGACAACTCTAGCGTCTTTTTGTCAAAGCCACTACGGGAACATATCGGAAATATGGGATAATCTGGGAACATGTGGGATCATATGCGAACCTGGGACGAAAGCAACAATTTTGGGTAAATTTGAGGCAAATGTCGGGTCAATTTGGGTAAATCTTTCGTGCATGGAGCATTTGGGTTCAATTGTATGTCAGTTAGACTACTCATGGGTAAATTCAAACGACATCAGCGAACTCCGTGACCAGAAGTTATGGAAATTTTATAGTTTGGGCAACTATCCCAAAATGAAATTCTGTCAGCTTGTTGAACTGCTGTAATTCATCCACATGGAAGTGGAAACACTTGATTTTCATACCAGGAAATTCTCTTTCCCAGTGCTCAAGATGACAAGCCAAACAGCATTTAGGTGCCTGCCATTGACCTATGACATGAAGGATATAATTTGTTCCTTGGGTTTAGCACGCTAGGCATATTGTAACCTACAGGGCTTCAAAGTTTGGACGGACCCACAGATGCTGATGATGCTGGTTTCTAAGATGATGCTGGTGGCTGAAAATGGGGGTGTTCCCCCCAACTGATGGTAAGTTGGACAGGGAAAATGATGAATTTGGAGGTGGAATTATTTCATTGGCACCTTATTTTGAGACAACCCTTGCAGTGATTTTTAGGAATAGTTAGTGTTTTTCCATCCCGAGAAGTGGGATGATGACTCACATTTGACTTGAACACATTTCTGATGGTCCAGTTGCTTCCATCATGATTGTTGCTTGATATTCTCATTTCAGACCTCTAATTTATACCACATATCGATATTATTGGATATCCATGAAAACATTAATCTGTTTGTGTGATTAAACATCCATCCTATTAGTTCCATTCTTAGGCGGGATCTACATCTACATCTATATCGACCATAAAGTGGTGATCGAAAGAATATATTCAAACAATGTTCACCATTTTTTTTTGATAAGCAACTCATGCGATGAGCCACAATCATATGATATGATGAAAACATTGTGTAAAACATCTGAGTAATATTGTAATCAATAACAGCTTATATATGTCAACATATTATGTATATGTATAGAACATGATTTTATTATCTAATTCTAGCTAAAGCATCCTAATAAAAGTCGAGTTCATATTTAGAAACCCTATACTAAAAACCATCCTAAAAGCATCCAATTCTTCATCAATCCTTCTATAAGGATTTAGGGTTTGAAGGATTTCTGATCCTCTTATGCAAACAGTATAAGAATATGATCAACCATAATAAGGTTTTTCTACGGATTTCTTATCCATGAGGTTATGATAACCAATCCCCAGTGATCATCCATTAGGATTTTATAGTAACCCCAGTTGTCAATAGTTAAACCTTATCATCTCAGTTTATCATCCATAGAGGGAAACAAAACCCATTTCCAGTTATCCATAGATTTTCTTGATCCGTGAATCCATAGATGATTTCCAGTTATCCATAGATTATCCATAGATTATCCATAGATATTCCATAGATATTCCATAGATTATCCATAAATCCGTAGATATTCCATAGATATTCCATAGATATTCCATAGATATTCCATAAATCCATAGATATTCCATAGATAATCCATAAATGAATAGACAATCCATAGATATCCCATAGATATTCCATAAATCCATAGATAAACCATAGATATTCCATAGATATTCCATGAATCCATAGATAATCTATAGATATTCCATAGATAGTCCATAAATCCATAGACAAACCATAGATATTCCATAGATATTCCATAAATCCAAAGATAATCTATAGATATTCCATAGATAATCCATAAATCCATAGATAACCCATAGATATTCCATAGATAATCCATAAATCCATAGATAATCCATAGATATTTCATAAATCCATAGATAAACCATAGATATTCCACAGATATTCCATAGATATTCCATAGATAATCCATAAATCCATAGATTTTCCATAAATCCATAGATAATCCATAAATCCATACATAATCCATAGGTATTCCATAGATAATCCATAAATCCATAGATAATCCATAGATATTCCATAGATAATCCATAAATCCAAAGATAATCTATAGATATTCCATAGATAATCCATAAATCCATAGATAATCCATAAATATTCCATAGATAATCCATAAATCCATAGATAATCCATAAATAGATATTCCATAGATAATCCATAAATCCATAGATAATCCATAGATATTCCATCGATATTCCATAATTCCATAGATAAACCATACTGTAGATATTCCATAGATATTCCATAAAATCATAGGTAAACCATAGATATTCCATAGATATTCCATAAACCCATAGATAGATATTCCATAGATATTCCATAAATCCATAGATAATCTATAGATATTCCATAGATAGTCCATAAATCCATAGACAAACCATAGATATTCCATAGATATTCCATAGATAACCCATAAATCCATAGATTTTCAATAGATATTCCATAAATCCATAGATATTCCATAAATCCATACATAATCCATAGGTATTCCATAGATAATCCATAAATCCATAGATAATCCATAGATATTCCATAGATAATCCATAAATCCAAAGATAATCCATAGATATTCCATATTCCATAGATATTCCATAGATATTCCATAAATCCATAGATAATCCATAAATCCATAGATAATCCATAGATATTCCATAGATAATCCATAAATCCATAGATAATCCAAAAATCCATAGATAACCCATAAATCCATAGATAATCTATAGATATTCCATAAATCCATAGATAATCCATAGATATTCCATAGATAATCCATAAATCCATAGATAATCCAAAAATCCATAGATAGTCCATAAATCCATAGATAATCTATAGATATTCCATAAATCCATAGATAATCCATAAATCCATAGATAATCCATAGATATTCCATAGATAATCCATAGATATTCCATAGATATTCCATGAATCCATAGATATTCCATAAATCCATAGATAATCCATAAATCCATAGATAATCTATAGATATTCCATAGACAATCCATAATTCCATAGATAATCCATAGATAATCCATAGATAATCCATAGATAATCCATAAATCCACAGATAATCCATAGTTCCATAGATAATCCATAGATATTTTATAAATCCATAGATAAACCATAGATATTCCACAGATATTCCATAGATAATCCATAGATTTTCCATAGATAATCCATAGATATTCCATATATCCATAAATCCATAGATATTCCATAAATCCATAGGTAATCCATAAACATTACATAGATAATCCAAAGATATTCCATAGATAATCCATAAACCCATAGATATTCTATATATCCATAGATTTGTCCATAGATAAACCATAGATATTCCATAGATAATCCATAAATCCATAGATATTCCACAAATCCATAGGTTTTCCATAGATAAACCATAGATAAACCATAGATATTCCATAGATAATCCATAAATCCATAGATAACCTATAGATATTCCATAGATAATCCATAAATCCATAGATAATCCATAGATATTCCATAGATAATCCATAAATCCATAGATAATCCATAGATATTCCATAGATAATCCATAATTCCTTCCATATCTCATAAATCCATAGATAATCCATAAATCCATAGATAATCCATAAATCCATAGATAATCCATAGATATTCCATAGATAATCCATAAATCCATAGATAATCCATAGATAATCCATAGATCCATAGATAATCCATAAATCCATAGATATTCCATAGATATTCCATAGATAATCCATAATTCCACAGATAATCCATAAATCCATAGATAAACCATAGATATTCCATAGACAATCCATAAATCCATAGATAATCCAAAAATCCATAGATAATCCATAAATCCATAGATAATCTATAGATATTCCATAAATCCATAGATAATCCATAGATATTCCATAGATAATCCATAGATCCAAAGACAATCCATAAATCCATAGATGATCCATAAATCCATAGATAATCCATAGATATTCCATAGATAATCCATAAATCCATAGATAATCCATAAATCCATAGATATTCCATAGATAATCCATAAATCCATAGATAATCCATAGATAATCCATAGATAATCCATAAATAATCCATAGATATTCCATAGATAATCCATAAATCCATAGATAATCCATAGATAATCCATAAATCCATAGATAATCCATAAATCCATAGATAATCCATAGATAGTCCATACTTATTCCTAAATCCATAGATAATCCATAGATAATCCATAGATCCATAGATAATCCATAAATCCATAGATATTCCATAGATAATCCATAAATCCATAGATAATCCATAAATCCATAGATATTCCATAGATAATCCATAAATCCATAGATAATCCATAGATATTCCATAGATAATCCATAAATCCATAGATAAACCATCCAGCTCTTGGGGTCCCTATGGATGGGATCTCTGTTTAGGCGGATGAGGAGGTGAGCTCGTTCGTCCCCGAGGTGGGATGGAATCGACTTCAATGATGAAGATCTGCTTCAAAATAGAAGATATGCTTCAAATAGAAAATATACTTCAATGAACACATTTTCGAATTTTCGATTTTTGTAGTTTTTTTCTCTCCATATTTTAGCATGAACGCATTGGATTTGAGCTAAGAATGGCTATGATGATAACGTTTCTGTCTGAAAACATGGTTTCTAAGTAGCCAGAATAGGGATTGAACATGATTTGACAATTAAAGATTGGGATGTAACCTACGAATAATGAACCAGCGGATTAGACAAATCCATATCAAGAAAACAGTCGAAAACTCACAAAAGAGCAGTCGTAGCATGGGGATTTTTTTTCGTCCCATCGGGATTTTCTTATTTTTCTTTCAGGAATGGGAGATTTACCCAAGAAAAACGCGGAAAAATCGCCACAGAACTGGGATCATCTGGGATCTGAGCCACAGAACTGGGTTTCGCTGCGATACGGCTGACATGGATCATTGATTCGATCAGATTGGGATAGAATGTAGCCATATGTAGCCATATGTAGCCATCAGAAACTGCATGGATCTGGGGTTTATATAGGTTTTACGAAAGTTTTAGAGGGTTTAATCATGTCGGGATATACTAGGAGCTCTAATACGATCCTTTATGATCCAGGACCACTCATTGGATCTGGATCTAACTCTAATAGCCAGAAGACCATGATGGTTGATCATCATTGATCAATATTGATCATCAGGATATCTGCAGCCCGCAAGCAGACACCTCACTGCCCAGCAGTCATCTTTGGCTCCAGTTTCACCAGAAAAATCAGCGACGAACAACTGATCGCCAGCTGGCGATGCTGGCACATGCACGCGCTGCGATGGCCACCACTTGTGATGATTCCGGCGGATCTCCCAGGCACTTGGGATATCATGTTCAGACGGAGCTGATGGAGGAAAAATGCCGCGGGCTTATCAAGGCTGCAATAGGCTGCAATCAGAGTTGAATCAGCTGATGTGAGTCTGGACCTGAAATACTGAAACAGGGGTAGAACCTCTGAATTTTCCCTTCATCCAATCATGTGAATGGAATTGTCTTGCACTTCCCAACCTCTGAAAGAGGTTTTCACATCGGACGGATCTAAGGGAGGCCAGACAATGCCACTAATTTGAGCTTGCCTACGTGCTTGAAATCCAGGTCAATTGATGCTTCCCAAAAGAGTCAAATCCCTACGTGTCTGTGGCAGTTGAGAGTTTGGGCCTTTGGAACTGAGGCTGGCAGAAGTATTCAGACTGCGAAGCTCCAGACTTCTTTGAGGTCTTGGATTTTGCCCGCGATGGAGGATTTGCGGAGGTTCATGAGCTTTGGAATGTCATTTGGCGGCGCAGCAGAACTGAACGAGGTGATACGGCCTAGTTGTAAGGTGTTTTTTGGAAGCCGACTCTATAGAGATACTGTATATCTGCCATAAACCAACTTAACTAATTATCATGAATCAACTACAAATTCCCATGGTTGTTGAAATAGCCGTTAACGTGGTGAAAACAACACATGATTTTTCCAGGTGGAACCCCCAGTTATGTTTGTTGGTTTACAAACACCATTAACTATAGACTATAGTTATTATATCCGGATAAACCCTAGTTGACCATAGTTTAGCAAGTTGTAAACCAACAGACAGCTGTCATAAATAAGCTATAAATTCCATGGAGGATGGGTTCGGTACTGCCCCGTGGGCGGTGGCGCGCCTCTTCTCATTCCATGATGTCCCCATTCTTATGGTTAAATCATAATTTTCCTATGGTTATTACTAGTTAAAACTCATATTGACCATAGTTTTTTTGGGTTATCAACCACTTATGAACAATCATAAACCCACATTCACTTACATTAACCCATATTATACTACCTGCAGATGACATGGGAGTTGTCGGACATACCCAAAAACGCAAACTCCCATGTCATCTGCAAAGTGAAAAAAACAGAAAAATGCATAAGTCCCGTGTCATCTATAAAGTGGCGCGGAAAAAAAATCACATGACATGGGACCTCTGCAATTGTCTGGGCTCCAAAAAGATGCAAAACATGTCATGTCAACTAACTCACACTCTGTACATTTCACATCCCACATGAACAAAGATAGTATATGAGTGTATAACTACCTGCTAGCAGTTAGAATAATCCAAAATTATACGTCAGCAGCTGGAAGATTCCAAAGTCACATGAATCCATTCACCTCCTTGTTCTATTTAGCAACTATTTAGCACCTATTCAGAAGCTATCTAGCAGCTCTTTAGCATTTATTCAGCAGATATTTACTTGCTATTTAGAAGCTATCTAGCAGCTATTTCGAAGCTATTTAGAAGCCATTTATCAGTTATTCAGCAACTATTTAGCAGCTATTTTGCAGCTATTTCGCAGCTATTTAGCAGGTATTCAGCAACTATTTAGCAGGTATTTAGCAGCTATTTAGAATGTATTTAGCAGCTACTTAGCAGCTATTTAGCACCTATTTAGTAGTTATTCAGCAACTATTTAGAAGCTATTTAGCAGCTATTTCGAAGCTATTTAGAAGCAATTTATCAATTATTCAGCAACTATTTAGCAGCTATTTTGCAACTATTTCGCAGCTATTTAGCAGCTATTTAGCAACTATTTAGCAACTACTTAGCAACTATTGAGCAGCTATTTAGCAGCTATTTAGAAGCTTAGAAACTATTTAGCAGTCATTTAGCAGTTTTTTAGCTATTGAGTAGCTATTTAGCAGCTATTTCAGGAACTATTTGGCAGCTATTAAAGCTATTTAGCATTATCCATCTTGGACCTATATCTAAACTATGAATATATGAACCTATACATACATACATACATGCATGCATGAATGCATGCATATATATATAATGTTACACATGTCATGTGCTTTACATGTATGAATTTTGTATACGGTTTTTATTGATACCAAGATTGAACACTATTGAACCTTCAATAACTCAAATTTCGTATATAGAGTTGCATGAAGTACCTGTGCATACACACAAGGCACACCAGGCCTTTGAAAAAGATCGAACTATTATTAAACACATATGCATACAATTTTAAGATTTCAACATGTGTTTTTCTCATTTTCTCGTTGTGTCCCTCCCGTTATAGGCTTCCCCGTTGACCCCGTTGTGTTACCCCGGTTGCGCCAAAGTTTTATGTCTGGATTACCTTCCCCCCGGTGCAGGGTCAAAGTCCTCGAGCCGGGCTCTTGGAAGTCCCATCTCCTGTGGTAAATTCCTCTTCCCGTCTCCCTACCTGCCAGTTCCCATCTTGGATGTCCCATCTCCTGTGGTAAATTCCTCTTCCCGTTTCCCTACCTGCCAGTTCCCATCTTGGATGTCCCATCTCCTGTGGTAAATTCCTCTTCCCGTCTCCCTACCTGCCAGTTCCCATCTTGGATGTCCCATCTCCTGTGGTAAATACCTCTTCCCGTTTCCCTACCCGCCAGTTCCCATCTTGGATGTCCATCTCCTGTGGTAAATTCCTCTTCCCGTCTCCCTACCTGCCAGTTCCCATCTTGGATGTCCCATCTCCTGTGGTAAATTCCTCTTCCCGTCTCCCTACCTGCCAGTTCCCATCTTGGATGTCCCATCTCCTGTGGTAAATTCCTCTTCCCGTCTCCCTACCTGCCAGTTCCCATCTTGGATGTCCCATCTCCTGTGGTAAATTCCTCTTCCCGTTTCCCCACCTGCCAGTTCCCATCTTGGATGTCCCATCTCCTGTGGTAAATTCCTCTTCCCGTCTCCCTACCTGCCCCATCTCCTGTGGTAAATTCCTCTTCCCATCTCCCTACCTGCCAGTTCCCATCTTGGATGTCCGATCTGCTGTGGTAAATTCCTCTTCCAGTCTCCCTACCTGCCAGTTCCCATCTTGGATGTCCCATCTCCTGTGGTAAATTCCTCTTCCCATCTCTCTACCTGCCAGTTCCCATCTTGGAAGTCCCATGTCATATGGTAAATTCATGTAAATTCCTCTTCCCGTCTCCCTACCTGCCAGTTCCCATCTTGGATGTCCCATCTCCTGTGGTAAATTCCTCTTCCCATCTCCCTACCTGCCAGTTCCCATCTTGGATGTCCCATCTCCTGTGGTAAATTCCTCTTCCCGTCTCCCTACCTGCCAGTTCCCATCTTGGATGTCCGATCTGCTGTGGTAAATTCCTCTTCCCGTCTCCCTACCTGCCAGTTCCCATCTTGGATGTCCCATCTTGTGTGGTAAATTCCTCTTCCCGTCTCCCTACCTGCCAGTTCCCTTCTTGGATGTCCCATCTCCTGTGGTAAATTCCTCTTCCCATCTCCCTACCTGCCAGTTCCCATCTTGGATGTCCCATCTCCTGTGGTAAATTCCTCTTCCCGTCTCCCTACCTGCCAGTTCCCATCTTGGAAGTCCCACCTCCTGTGGTAAACTCCTCTTCCCATCTCCCTGCCTGCCAGTTCCCATCTTGGAAGTCCCATCTCCTGTGGTAAATTCCTCTTCCCGTCTCCCTACCTGCCAGTTCCCATCTTGGATGTCCGATCTCCTGTGGTAATTTCCTCTTCCCATCTCCCTACCTGCCCTACCTGCCAGTTCCCGGATCCCCGCTAGTTGGGCTTCCCACTCATGTAAGGTAAGCCCGCAAATGAATGCAAATGGTTCGATCGATAATCTTCTGAAGACAAGGTGACAGCCGGGCGGTTGCCGAAGAAGCTGGTGCCGCTTGTGGCCAGCGACATGTTCGTCTGGAGCCCCGAGCAAAATCCAGGTTGATGTGTGAGGCCGAGGCAACCCTCGTTAAATGTAGCAAGTGAGCAGCACATTTGTCAGATGTCTATAAATCATGCGCACATAAACCATACGCCTCATGGCTCATGAAGACATGAAATGGTCTGTTGTCTTTTTCTGAGGCAGCGCTGAGCCACGTGCATGGCCTTGGCATCTCCCACCGAGATGTGAAGGCCGGAGCTGGCAAGGTTGTCATGCATGGTCAGTCAAGGCATTAAACCGAATGGATTTTGATGTTTTCAGTCACTAGTTGGAGAAAGCTTCCCTGGAGGGCAGCGTTAATCTTGCTCTGCCATGCAGATTTCAACATGTTGCTCGTTTGGTACACGTTTGTTGCTATTCCTAACGGAACCCGTTGGGAATTCTCAAAAAGAGTAGTTTGGCATGAATTGTAAGCAAATGGGTTTTAGTCGTAAACAGACACGGAAGTTGATGTGAGCGAAATCCTCCACTGCATTAGAATCATTAGAATGTCATCGCCATGTGTGCCCCACAACATGGCCCCACAACATCATTCAGCATCCGTTGCCCTTCAGCTTGGCAACATCTTGGTGGTCGTCTTGGCTGGTCGCCCGGTCTTCAAGCTGGGCGACTTTGGCAGCGCTTGCAGAGGAGAGATGGGTTAGGTGTTGAGTTGATGTCTGGTTGGTCATCCGTATGTTGAATTTCAGGAGGCCAGTTCATGCAAGATTTTGGGCTTAGAACATGGATTTTGCCTCTTCCCGTCTCCCTACCTGCCAGTTCCCATCTTGGATGTCCCATCTCCTGTGGTAAATTCCCCTTCCCGTCTCCCTACCTGCCAGTTCCCATCTTGGATGTCCCATCTCCTGTGGTAAATTCCTCTTCCCGTCTCCCTACCTGCCAGTTCCCTTCTTGGATGTCCCATCTCCTGTGGTAAATTCCTCTTCCCATCTCCCTACCTGCCATTTCCCATCTTGGATGTCCGATCTCCTGTGGTCAATTCCTCTTCCCGTCTCCCTACCTGCCAGTTCCCATCTTGGATGTCCCATCTCCTGTGGTAAATTCCTCTTCCCGTCTCCCTGCCTGCCAGTTCCCATCTTGGATGTCCCATCTCCTGTGGTAAATTCCTCTTCCCGTCTCCCTACCTGCCAGTTCCCATCTTGGATGTCCCATCTCCTGTGGTAAATTCCTCTTCCCGTCTCCCTACCTGCCAGTTCCCATCTTGGATGTCCGATCTCCTGTGGTAAATTCGTCTTCCCATCTCATGACCTGCCACTTTCCATCTTGGACGTCTGTGTCTTCCTGGAAGTCCCATGTCATGTGTAAATTTGATCACTTATTCCCATGTCATCTTTCAAAAAAATGGAAAAATACCATCCCGTTAGGTCGGCGCATAACTCCCATGTCATGTGTAAAAAAGAAAACCATAGCAAAATCGATACATAAATCCCATGTCATGTGCCAAAAAACCTCGGCTAAATCGGCCACAAAGTCCCGTGTCATCTGCGCCTACTATAACATATATTAACCGTATAGCTAAACCTCATTTTTTCAGGGGATGAACCACCCAACCCGACCGACTTGCCGCCCCGGGGAAGCCCCGGGCCTCAGGTCATGAGGTATGTTGGAGCTGTGCTGGCCATCGGCATGATGATCAGTCACTTGTCCGGGGGGTTCATGTATGTCCATAGTTGTGTGTATATATAATATATGTATACATATACACATATATACATATACATATATGTATATATATATATATATATGTGGCAGGGACCTTTAGGTATAATATGAGCAGATCTGAGCGAGTTGGTTTTTGAGACGGGCACTGAAGCGCCCCTCCGAAAAACCAACTCGCTCAGTCCATCGTACAATATATATATACATGTATACATATATACATATACATATATATATAATGTATGGTATGGTATGGTATGGTATGGTATGTAATGTAATGTAATGTAATGTAATGTATGTATGTATGTGTATGTATATGTATGTGTATGTATGTATATGTATGTGTATGTATGTATATGTATGTATATGTATGTATATGTATGTATATGTATATATACATGTATGTATGTATGTATGTATGTATGTATGTATGTATATATATTTCACACATATGCACATTGCGCATGCATTTTTTCATTGATTTAATTTATTCGCATCCCAACGAATAGGATTAGGATTTGGTCACGAATCCCTCCACAAGAAACCCAGGTTTAGCCATTTCATGTTGGGGGTCCCATTTAGGTGTTTCCTCAAACACTTGATGTATCACAACATATGTACTATATTATTGTATTACATTAAACTTGTTTTTATGAGATATTCTTTACTACATTATATTTTAATTTTGTATTATATTACGTTGTATTAACATATTGTACATATTGTACTATATGGCTGGACGCATTTTATATTATATTGCATTGTGTTATAGTCACATATAGCACATTGTTATATACATAATATATTGGATGATGTGATATTGCATTAGATCACATTTTATTACATTGTTTCTATGCTATATTATATTCTGTTGTTTTGCATTATATTGTATTGCGGTATATGATGCGTTATTACCTTATGTTCTGTATACTTATGCTTCTTTTAGTTACACCCATACGCATCCGTATATATACACATGTATATATATATATACACATACACATACACATACATCTACATATACTTATACTTATACATGTGCATACACATATACATATTCATACACATACACACATGCAAGCACATATGTGTATACATGATTATATACATATAAATACACATAAATATACGTATACATATGAGTATAATATGTATATATATATATATACAATCACACGCACACATATATATATATATATACTGTACTGCAGTTCGTTTTGTCAGGGGGTGTCTGAACCACCAGGTAACCTGGCCACGATTGTCATCAACGACAGCCACTACTTGATCTCTTCGGCCCACATTGAGAGGTCGTCCAGCAATGTCACGGATGACGACGCAAGTTATGTCGCCTCCATCTCTGAGGACTATATGATTTCTGGGATGTTGGTGGATAGTATCTTTTACATCGTTTCAGATGTCACGGGACTTTCGGCAGCACAGTTCGCTTGTTCGTTCTTTCGCGTGATCAAAACACCATTGGATCCGCTGCTTTGGATCATTTTACATATCTTTTTCTCAAGATCAAACCATGAGTAACCATGATTTGCACGGATAAATCATGGTTTCCACGGATAAATCATGATAGATCCAGCACAAACCATGATTCACAATTCATCATTGGATATCAAGTTCTTCGTGGCTGAGGATTGGATATCCAGATCCGAAGTCCACGAATTGCCTTAGTTGGTGCGCTGGAATTGATCTTGCTGTGTCTGCTGGTCATGAAGGCGGGTCATGGATAGTCATGGTCCAGGGTTTGGATCAAACGCTCCGGGGGCCCTGCATCCACCTTTATGTACTCTCTGGTAAACATACAAAAAACTATGGAAAATCACCATTTTTAGTGGCAAAATCAACTATTTCGACTGGGCCATTTTCAATAAACTTTTTGTATGTTTACCTGAGGGTATGTTTAAGGCAAATCGACAACGTAGAAAAATCACCATGATGGTGTTGGTGATCTATCGAAGCACCTCCTTTCAGGGTTACCTTCTGGAAAACCCATTGGTCGATGAACATGTGGATTTACCAATAAACAATTGTGATAGATCAGCTATGTAACTGGTAAATCGTGACAATAAATGTGACAATTGTGACAATAAATTTACCAGTTAACAATTGTGACAATAAATATCTTGGATTTGCCCAAAATGGAGAAAAAAACTCCGTGGGTTTACCTCTTTTGGAACAAGGTCATTTTCTATGTCAACATTCATGCACTCACCGTTCTCGCGGCTTGCGCGGCTCTGTTTGCCAGGCCTTCTCGTGCATCATGTGGAGTTTGACCACTGACAATCAGCGGCTGCGCTGGAGCATGGCCATGACGCTCTTTTGGGAGGCACCGGACGGAAAGTCATGGAACTTCCAAGGTAGTAGTAACATGTAGTAACTACACCATTTTTTGTGGACCTACTAACCTATAATATATATCTATATCTATATCTCTATATCTATACATCTATATATATATATACATACATATGGGCTCATGTGGAGAATCTGCTCAATGGACTGTAGCCATCGAGAAATCTCGCCGTTTTGGGATCAGCCATGGGTACACCTTGGGAACGGAGAGTCGCGACCCATGCGATGTTTTGGGTGAATCACACGGACCTGACCGACGGCTCTGTACCATATTTTTGGCCATATTTCCTGGGGATATTCCCTTACATAGGCCTTTTTACATAGGCCTTATATATGGTAGGTACCTCCAATAAATCGGTTCCTGAAATGGCCAGTGAGAATTCAGGCCAAAGTCAGCAAGCAAAGCCATACTCATGGATATGTGGGACATTCCCAGACTTACCAGTCGCAAGGGCCAAGGATCTTCTTAGCTACCAAGCATGATCCTCCAAGCTTGGATGGATGATGTTTTCTGATAGAAGGTGATTCAGGTGCCTTGACTCAGACCGCAACTTCTTGGCCCTACCCTCTGAAAATTTGCGAATGCATTCATCATCCAAGCGTACGTTTGGATTGTACGTATCCCGCATGAGGAAATACCCTTGTTTGAGTACCAGAGGTATATAGACACCATATGATGCTCATCAATAGCAGTCAATATAGCTTCAAATAACAATTAGACCTGTGCTTAGTATATCTGACTACAACTGATTCAACTTAAACCCAATGGCCAGTCGTCTACCAGAATTTGTGTACGGGAAAATTTACAGGAACCCCTATGAACTGTGCGTGAAAAACCTATGCGGTTCCTTTTCAGATTTTGCCAGCTAAATCGTGGTTGGTTTTGTTGCCACTTCCTCATGACCAAGCTATACCCCGAATTGGATTTCCAGGTTAAATCCCTTTATAATAGGTTTATTTAAGGGCTGCCGCCCCTGCCGCCGACCCCGGAAGAAGTGGCAAGGAAGCAAAGCTGGCAGCTCGACCTTTTTGCTATGTACATCGTTGTGAAATATATTTGATAGGTTTGAATTTTCATGTGTAAATGGGTTTTTCATTTGAGCATGTTAATACTCTGATCTTATGGTTTTATGTGTTCATGGATCTAAGTAACTGTATAATAGTTATATATATATACACAATATTTTTGGCCCTATTATTATACAGCTAATGTTGCGCCGCACAGGTGCATGGTTGCGCCGCACAGGTGCATGATATTTTATCGAAGTATATGAGGGCGTTGTTTTTTTTGATCCCCCACTTTGTTTGTTTGACCTCCCCCGTGTTTTTTTGACCCCTCATGAACGAAATCCGAAATGAAACTCTAAAGAAACTCTCAAGAAACCTACATGAATGTTTGAAAACCTTGACAAGATTTTCTGATAAGAAATTCACATAACACTCGAAATTAAACGCGAAAGGAAATCGGAAAGAATCCCTAAATGAAACTCTACATGAAACCCGACAGAAACGCAAAAGAAACTCGAAATAAAACCCTAATGAAAGTTTAAACACCGTAGGTGAAACCGAAAGAAACCCGAATGAATTGCTGCCAGAAACCCCTACATGAAACACAAAATGAACCCTAAAGAAATCATAAATTGACCTAAAGAAACCATAAATGAAAGCCTGCAATTCAATGCAATGAAATGCAATGCACTGCAATGCAATGCAATGCAAGGTAATGCAATGCAATGTACTGCAATGCAATGCAATGTAATGGAATGCAATGTAATGCAATGCAATGCAATGTAATGTAATGTAGTGCAATGCAATGTACTGCACTGCAATGCAATGTAATGCAATGAAATGCAATGCAATGTAATCCCATGCAATGTACTGCAATGTAATGCAATGTAAGGCAATGTAATGCAATGCAATGCAATGTAATGCAATGCAATGCAATGTAATGCAATGCAATGCACTGCAATGCAATGTAATGGAATGCAATGTAATGCAATTGACTGTAATGTAATGCAATGTAATGCCAAGCAATGTAATGCAATGCAATGTAATGCAATGTAATGCATTGCAATGAAAAGCAATGAAATGTAATGCAATGCAATGCAATGCAGCGAAATGTAATGCAATGCCATGTAATGCAATGTAATGCCATGCAATGTAATGCAATGCAATGCCCTGCATTGCAATGAAGAGCAACGAAAGGTAATGCAAAGCAATGCAATGAAGTGTAATGCAACGCAATGTAAGGCAATGTAATGGTATGCAATGCAATGTAATGCAATGTAAGGCATTGCAATGTAACGCAATGAAATGTATCGCACCTTGAGGCTCTCGACCTTTTTGCCATGTATATCGTTGTGAAATAAATTTGATAGGTTTGAATTTTCATGTGTAAATGGGTTTTTCATTTGAGTACATGTTAATATTCTGATCCTATGGTTTTATGGGTTCATTTTATGGGTTCATGGATCTAAGTAACTGTATAATAGTTAGATAAATATATATAAATATATACACGATATTTTTGGCCCTATTATTATACAGCTAGTGTTGCGCCGCACAGGTGCATGGTTGCGCCGCACAGGTGCATGATATTTTATCGAAGTATACGAGGGCGGTGTTTTTTTTGATCCCCCACCTTGTTTGTTTGACCTCCCCCGTGTTTTTTTGACTCCTCATGAACGAAATCCGAAATGAAACTCTAAAGAAACTCTCAAGAAACCCACATGAATGTTTGAAAACCTTGACAAGATTTTCTGATAAGAAATTCACATAACACTCGAAATTAAACCCGAAAGGAAGTCGGAAAGAATCCCTAAATGAAACCCGACATGAAACCCGACAGAAACGCAAAAGAAACTCGAAATAACACCTTTAAGAGATGTAAATCTCCAGAGAATTCCTACATGAAATTGAAATCCTACTTTTTTTGTTTTATTTTTTCCTGTTTGTATCTTAAATGAAAGTTTAAACACCGTAGGTGAAACCGAAAGAAACCCGAATGAATTGCTGCCAGAAACCCCTACATGCAACACAAAATGAATCCGAAAGAAATCATAAATTGACCTAAAGAAACCATAAATGAAAGCCTGCAATTCAATGCACTGAAATGCAATGCACTGCAATGCAATGCAATGTAATGCAATGCAATGTACTGCAATGCAATGCAATGGAATGGAATGCAATGTAATGCAATGCAATGCAATGTAATGTATGCAATGCAATGTACTGCACTGCAATGCAATGTAATGCAATGCAATGAAATGCAATGCAATGCAATGTAATGCCATGCAATGTACTGCAATGCAATGCAATGTAAGGCAATGTAATGCAATGTAATGCAATGTAATGTACTGCAATGCAATGCAATGTAAGGCAATGTAATGCAATGCAATGTAATGCAATGCAATGTACTGCAATGCAATGTAATGAAATGCAATGCAATGTAATGCAATGTAATGCCAAGCAACGTAATGCAATGCAATGCATTGCAATGAAAAGCAATGAAATATAATGCAATGCAATGCAATGCAGTGAAATGTAATGCAATGCCATGTAATGCAATGTAATGCCATGCAATGTAATGCAATGCAATGCAATGCCCTGCATTGCAATGAAGAGCAACGAAAGGTAATGCAATGCAATGTAATGAAGTGTAATGCAACGCAATGTAAGGCAATGTAATGCTATGCAATGCAATGTAGTGCAATGCAATGCATTGCAATGTAACGCAACGAAAGTCTTGCCCTTCCTACACGATTCGTGTGGTTGCATGTCCCGAAGACAAAACTTGCTACAGGCATTGTTCCATGGAGTCTGTGTGCACACACTGCGAAGTACCAATTTGTTCCTCTTGTTGGAACTATGTGTATCGACATAGGAGCAAACCACCAGCAGCATTGAGCAACGATATGATACTCGGACATCCACCGCGGGAGATCTATGCGCAAGAATGCACTGTCTTAGAACTCTTGTGTGGAAGCCCTTGCATGACTGCCTTGACGTGTTTTAGCATTGAATGGCGCTACCTGCAAGACCGGAGTTTAGCCCAAGATGCATTTATGAACCGGCACCGCCTATGCGCCAAAGGAAATGCAACGACGTTTCCGTTGCCATGGGAAGACTTGTTGTCCGAATTCCAACGTTTAGACGAAAAACTGGCATCGAATACGCCTGCTGGTTGCCTACCGCACGTAGGCAAAGCATTAAGTGACAAAATTGCCGTTATAATAAAAATAGGAGACAAGAAAGACAAAGCAGCGATGCGTCAACACATCATTCACCAAGCAGTTGTCCGGCGTCAGGTCGTTGTGAGATTAATCGCAACAATGGTTGCGCGAAGCCATCCTGCGTACAAAGGAATAGATATGGCACTCGTGGAAGCACGTGCCGAAATGTTACCAGAAAATGACGTTCCCGCCGAAATCATTGCCTTATTGGATAACGATGGGAGTCTTAATCACGTCTTGCGGCAAAAAGCAGCTACGCCCTTCAACGACCAAATGTCTGAAGCACAAGTGAGTTGTGAGTTCGGACGTTTGCTGAAACCGAACGCGGTCGTTCTAGAGAAAACAACTGCAGGATGTCACGATCTAAATGCACAACACGTGTCTGCACTGGAAGACATTGTGACCCGCAGTCAGCCAGCGCCTGCGCAGCCTCTTCCAGAAGTGACACTGTATACGGGCACCAAACTTTTGGATCAATTTCAGCCACTTTACTTTGCTTTAGCCTTTCCTTTTGTCTTCCCATATGGCATTGGTTTGCCTGATGTGCCCAAGTGGAGCCAACGGAAACGGCTTCGACGCCACACGGAAGATCCGCACGTCGAGCTAAATACATGGGTCAAAGTCATGGCGCGACGCATCGAGGCGCAAGTCAGTCGTGATTGGGTTTTTGGCTTTACGTCGTGGAATCTGCTGTTTCGATCAGCTTTGAATCTGTCCCGAACAACGGATGCATACTCGCGGA